AAAAAAAAAAAAAAAAAAAAAAAAAAAAAAAAAAAAAAAAAAAAAAAAAAAAAAAAAAAAAAAAAAAAAAACTCTTATTTTGTGCATTATTATAAAATGTAACGCTAAATTTAAAAAAATATTTAAAAAGACTTTAAACTTTAAAAAAAATATAAAAAATACTTTTAAACATAAAAAAAAAAAAAACTCATTAATACATTTAATTCTTTTAAAGTTAAAATAATCGTCTATTATATTTTATAAAATATTTTAAAAACATTTTAATATTATTTTAAAAAATTAAAAACATTTTTTAGATGGGTTACCAACTTGTACTTTTTATTAGCTAATTAAGAATTATTCATTCCTATATTTATATAATAGTTATTAAAGACTTATAAATTTTGACTATTTACCCAACCACTATTTGTTAAGGAAATTAACTGGAGGGTAAAAATATAATTTCACTAAAACATCAAGCTATTTAAAACTATATTTTGAATAGAAAAACAATTAAAATATCGAATAAAACGTTGACGTATCCTAATGTATTTTTTTTTTTTATATTTATCCAAATAAAAAAATTTATATTTTGATAATAATTGATCATAAATGGAAATTATTTTTTTAAAAAAAAAATAATAATGGAAATGATTTATTGGTGGGTATATTGTAAATATTTTGTTTCTTCTTCACGTTTTAAGTGACATTAATTATTATTTGGGGACAGTGGGTGGGCCAGAAAACGAGTGCACGGAGGTCATATCTTTAAATTGACCATATGTTTTTTCCACGAAATTTCCCACCACCTTTAATAAATTAAATTAAATTAAATTTATTTTCTCCTTCCATTTCACAATTACTTTTTAATTAATATTTTATTTTCTTACCAACTTCTAGTAAGCCTTTAAAATGGTAGGACGAACACTTTTTTAGTCCAACAAGACCTACTGATAAGATAAGGAACCACTACAAGGGGAGTAAGATTCGAATTATCTTATTGATCGAATATCTCAAGGCAAGAACATTGTTTGAGATTCGAATCACTCCACAAGCAAGATCGATCATGTCTAGCTTGAATGATTCTACATGCAACCTAAACTACATAGAATTGCAAAAAAACTTAGCCATTAGCTAAAGAAGAGCACAAATGCTTGTTTTACTATATTTTCCAAGTCTACTTACAAATACAATATACATAGCTTTATATAGCTTCAAAATGAAACTACTAAAGGCATTCAAAGAGGTGTTACATTCATACTTAATGGTCATAATTAACCATTATGTAATTGTAACCTAAAGTAAATAAAAACTCTTAAAATACATTAATGAAATATAATAACTCTAAATTGTAATCCACCCAAAATTTATCACATCAAACTTCATTTTTCTTTAATGTGGCATGAATTGAAATGATAATTTCAAAAATATTTTTTCACATATTCATTGAAGCATATTATATGATTGATGTCTCTTAGTTCATATCACGTACCTATATACTATAGTATTGGTTGCACATTTAATATAGCGTTCGTAATCACGTGCAGGGTTAAAAATGAAAATGTTTGTAAGGATTGAAATGATTGGTTATAAAAGGTAATTAAGGGTATTTTGAATATGTAAATAAATAAATAAAATAAGATACGTTAAAGATATTATTTCGAAAGCAAGTGGCAGAGAAATTTGGCCAATCTGATTGGTTGAAGAAAAACAGAGGTCATTTTTTTTCTTTTTCCAAATGTGTTGACCTAAAAAGTATCTTATCCAAAGTTTAAAATATCAATTTGAATGTTTTTTAAATCCAACTATAGATTTTTTTTTTTTTAATTAAATATGGCGAACTAATTCAAGGTGACAGATTTAATCGAATATGATTAATTATTAGTATACTTTCATTCGAAGTGTGAGATTCGAATTTCTGATTGAGTATGAATAATTATGATTATGATCGCATTCGATGGAAGAGATTCGAGCATCTAATTGAGTATGAATTACAACTATGCTCACATTTGAGTTTGAAGATTCGAACATTTGATCGAGTATGGTCTATTTCTACTATGTTCTCATTCAAGATGAGAGATTCGAATTTTGATATCGAGTATGGCTGGTTGTCACTGTTGGATGATGAAAGTCCCACATCGGTTAATTTAGGGAATGATAATGAATTTATAATCAATGAATACTCTTTTAGTATGAAACCTTTTAGGGAAGCCCACAGCAAAGCCATGAGAGCGTATGCTGAAAGTGGACAATATCATACTATTATTGGGTAAGACTCCAAAGGAGTCGAGCCTCGATTAACTCTATTGTTATGAGTCATTTTGGAGAACGTAAAGCAAACTGTTTTTACTCAAAGTGGAAAATCCTATCATTGGAGAGTATTTGTTCGTCTATGTTCACTATTTTACTTTCAACTGTTATGCCTTTGTCATACAAATAAACGTTAATAATATCTTCGTCTTCTCCTCTAATGTGTAGTGTAGTAATCTAAAAGGTTTAGGCCATGATTTTGGTCGAATACCTTCTTAGAAAGTTAGAGAAGATTTGGATAATGCAATGCAATTAAGTTTCCATTTGAGTGTTTCGATGAATGCATTTCAATTCTTGGATCCAACAGGTTACAGAAGCCTTGAGAAAAGAAGGATTAGAATCATCAAACCTCATAGTAGGAATTGATTTCACCAAAAGCAACGAGTGGACAGGTCAGTCGAATCACTCGAACTGTAATCTAAATTCAAACTTCTCGTTCTTCGTAATCGATTGAAACTGAACAATTCGCCGTCGCCTGTGACTGGCGCGCAGGTAAAGTCTCATTCAATAATCGGAGCCTACACTCGGTCTCTGATTCTCCTAATCCCTATGAGAAGGCTCTATCGATCATCGGGAGAACTCTGGCTCCTTTCGACGACGACGGTCTGATTCCTTGCTTCGGTTTCGGCGACGGTATGATCCGCCGCGGCTTTCCGTCTATTTAGTTCCTCTTCACATTATTTCTTTGCCGATTCATCGCCTTCTTGTCCATGTATCTTACAGCGACGACACACGATCAAGAGGTGTTCAGTTTTCACAACGATAATTCCCCGTGCCATGGATTTGAAGAAGTTCTGGACTGCTACAAAAGGATAATTCCGAACGTGCAACTTTCAGGTTAGTTCATGATTGTATAGATGAATTTTATCAATACTTTTGTTCATCGTGGTCGCTTCATGGATGTGATTTATAGGGCCAACATCTTACGCCTCCGTGGTTGAAGCAGCAATGAACATTGTGGAGAAGAGTAATGGCCAATTTCACATTCTTCTCATCGTTGCAGATGGACAGGTTGATTTTTCATACTTCTCTGCTTTTAATCTGTTTCTTTCACGGCAAAGTAAACGAATTCATTTTGTTGCAAAGGTTACTCGAGGCTCGAGTGTTGGCGATGGAGAGTTGAGTGTTCAAGAGGAGAAAACAATCAAAGCAATTGTAGATGCAAGGTAATGGAAGGGGGAAAACAAGTAACCTTAGATTTAATGTATAGAGGTAGGTATGAACAGCTTAAGTGGGAAAAACAATGATTAGAGAACTAATAACGATTAAAAATGCTAATTAACTAATAGTTTAACATCCTTGCAAGTGAACTAGTGGATGAACAATAGTATGCTTGAAACGTAGTCCTTGGAAGCATAGAGTAGACATGTCTTTAGTCATAAGAACTTTGTCTAACTTATAGGGTTACTTCGAGTGTGTATTACACCTCTACCAATGTGAGTAATTTCTAGTACTTCTCCATTGCCCAGATACATTTGTTCATTCGCTTTATATTTATGAGTTGAAAACATCGTACCTGGATTGTTTACAACATGGCCTTAGCTCCAGAGTCATACCTTGTAATAGCCCAAGCCCACCACTAGCCTCACGGTTTTAAAACACGTATGCTAGAGAGAGGTTTCCACACTATTATAAAGAATGTTTCGTTCCTCTCTCCAACCGATGTGGGGTCTCAAAATCCACCCCATTCGAGGCCCAACGTCCTCGCTAGCACACCGCTTGGTGCTTAGCTCTGATACCATTTGTAACTGCCCAAGTCCACCGCTAGTAGATATTGCCCCTTTGGCCAGTTATGTATCACCGTCAGTCTCACGGTTTCAAAACGCGTCTGTTAGGGAGAAGTTTCTACACTCTTTTAAAGAATGTTTTGTTTTTCTCTTCAATCGATGTGGGATCTCAAATTCCTATCTTCTAATGCCAAATCAGTGAAAGCTTTCGGGATTTCATCCTGTTGATAAGTGTGATGAAATCTATTCCAACATTTGAGAGCAGTGTGGCTAGCTTTACCACAAAATTGGTATGGACTGAACTTATTTTGATTGTTGGTCGAAGTGTTTCCATTGGGAGGTTGAGGACTGAAGTTGCTATTTTGCAGCATTTCTTAAGATGATTGACTTTGACTTGACTGAAATCACCTTTCTCGTGACGAAAAATATCTCCCTCTACCTCGGCCCCTTCCTCTTTGACTAAAGAAGGCATGATTGTGGTTGGATACTGCTGTTTTTTCATTTCCATCTTCCAGTGCATTTATATGTTCATGTACTTTTAGTGCAAGGATGAATTGATTGAATGTTGGATCTGGAGCTTTGGACAACATTGGATGTATTCATCTGGTGATAGTCTGCCCTCTTTCAAACAATGTTAAGATTCATTGATGTGAATCTCATTCTCGTGTGATTGAAAGGAGAAGTTCATACTTGATGTGCAGTCTCCATTCCTTCCAATCATTTTGCAAGCACTTCCTTAGAAATGTTTCCTATGACCAAGAGGTTAAAAAGCCATCATTATTGAGCCAAGTGAGGTAGTTTGGATGTTAAGGTTTCACCTTCTTTGTCGGAAATTTCCTCTTTGAGATACTCCCATACTTCTTACCAATGGCATCATTTGCAACTTCCACAACAAATAACTTTTAGAACTTAACTTCAATGATATTAGACTTGAGAATTGGTTGTAGGATTGGATTGTTGGTGAAGTTTCTGATTTGGTCAAGGTTTTTGTTAGGGATTTGGTTTTTCATTTCCTTACTTCTTACCCAAGACAAGATTGTTTCTCATTTCCCTAAAAAAGAACAAAGAAAAAAAAAAAGAAAACAAGTTTCAGTTGGTTATGAAGAATGTCGAGGCATTGGGAAGGGGTGGAATGCATGAATTTATGAAGTCCAACCCATGAGCGCGTATGACATTTAGAAGTTGGATTTTTCACCGCAAATAGTTTGCATCGATTAACTTGACATAGAGAGACAAAACTACTCGTGGGGTATCATTTGAAGAATATTGAGAAATTGTGGTGTGGGAAACCGGTAGCACCAGTTGAAAGAATATTCATCAAAGACAAGATGAGAGTAAGGTGAGTTTATGCTGCATGATACCCTTGCGGGTAGGTGGCTAGATGATGAGGGGAGTTGATCAATTTCGAGGTAGGAGGAGGCTAGAAGAGAGCTGTGATAGCATACAAAGGTATGAAAACCAGAAGGAAATAGGAGAGGACGGTAGCTGTCTTTGTATTCAAAATTACACACAAAAAACAGACATGACTAACAATAAAAAAGGGCAACCAAATAAATCCCACCTGTGTCCCAACAATATTGGGTAGATGGAAGACAGTAATTAGAGAACTAATAGGGAGTAAAAATGCAAATTTACTAATGGTTTAACATGCATCATCTAGTTTCATCGTAGATTTTGAGCTTTTGTTTTGTTATTTCATTCAGTGCCTATGCTCTTTCGATTATTCTTGTTGGAGTCGGAGACGGGCCTTGGGACGACATGAAGAAGTTCGACGACAAGATTCCAGCACGAGATTTTGATAATTTTCAGGTTTAATAACAATCCATGGACGACTTAAATCAGTTCAGTCAACTTTAGTGAGAATCAACTATCATTGTCTCTTATCTTGCATTTTCCTAACTATGTGCAGTTCGTTAACTTCACCGAGATCATGTCCAGAAACGTTGCGACGCCTGAAAAAGAAGCAGCTTTTGCTCTAGCTGCACTGATGGAGGTTCCTTTACAATATAAAGCCGTCAAAGAAATGGATCTTCTAGGGTAGGGCACACTCTTTATTACCCCTTTCATTACTTGGAAGTTTTCAATTCAACTGTTTCTCTTGAGATGCTCTTGAGGTTGGTTGGAATGGAATGGCTTATTATTGACGGCTAACTCTGCTTGTTTTGATGTGGAACCAAGACACGTGACAGGAAAAGCGAAATTAGTTCATCCACGATCCCCACCGACACGTCATACTCGTCCTGCACGACTTACTCCCAAACCCAGCAACACCGTCTCAGCTTCTGCATCAGATGACCGGAGCCAGGTATACTAGTGTGGAACTTCACTTATGGAACATTGCTTTTGCTTGCTTATTGGCTCTGTATAATTTAAGGCTTTCACTCATAATACTCGTTCTTCCAAATTGTAGATGGATTAAGTATAGAATAATAACATTCTTTCCAACTCAAAAGCAGGTCTGCCCCATTTGCTTGACCGAGGGAAAGGATTTGGCCTTTGGATGCGGCCACATGGTAGAGAGATTTAACTATCTAATATCTATTGAAAGTTTCTGATTCATCGGTCTTTCATTCAAACACATCTACTAACATTCAAACATTGCAGACCTGTAGAGACTGTGGATCAAGATTATCCAATTGCCATATATGTCGCCAGCCTATCAGAAATCGCATAAGGCTGTACACCGGGTGATCGAGGACTGCACCAAAGGCAACATACGATGTGCTTAAGGTCAACGACAACAGATGGATATGACATCCAGGGAATGTATGTTACGGATAGTTCGAAAATCTTCTAATTTTTAGTCTAGGAATGTTCTACTTTTGGGTGTTGTAAGAATGTGGATGGGGCACTCTAATGAAAAAACAATGTGCCCTTGTGCATATGAGATATAAACAAGATTTCATATGCATAATTTTGCATGTAAGATCTGGACCGAATGTGAAATTTAGTGATCATTAGTCCAATTGTATAAAATTGCCATTAGCTTGACAGAGCTTGTCAATGAGTATGAGGACTAACTCCATAGTAACATAAAGCATTTGAATTAAACAGGGCTTCCGCATACAAAGTTCTTAAGCTTTAAGAGCCTGTCCTGTAAGGATAAACAAACCCAAAAACAGTAAGATTGCATTACAAAATCTAACCCACACGTACCCGTTTATTTATTTTCCTTCTTGACCTGTTGGTTCTTGTCAGCGACCTCGTTGCTTTGGCTTGGGATTGGTTGGATTCTCACATATGGCTTCCTTGTCAATGTCTCTCCCCTCAAAGCAGCAACATAGCGATCGTTTGTGTCCTCTTTCCTCTGCAACTCGCCTAGATATTCTGCCAGTCTCTCTCGATTCACTCTCCCCATCATCTGGATTTAAATATCAACATTGAGAAGCAAAACACCTGATGAACACAATTCTAACATGTAAAGATTAAACCTACGACTGCAGACAAATTGTAACGGCCCAAGCCTCCCATTAACAGATATTGTCCTCTTTCGGCTTTCCATTTCGGGCTTACTAGTATGTGTCTTCCCGTTAACAGATATTGTCCTCTTTCAGCTTTCCATTTCGGGCTTCCTAGTATGTGTCTACTAGGGAGAGGTTTACATACCCTTATATCGTTCTCCTTTCCAACCGATGTGAGATCTCACACAAATTTAATACATAAAAATTCTTACAGCCCCATGAACTCAAAATACATAACCCCGTTTGATAACCTTTCGGTTTGCTGTTTTAGACTGCTTCCACCTATGGATTCCTTGCTTTGTGATCAACTTTTTACCTATATTTTAAAAAACTAAGCCAAGTTTTGAATTCCAAAAAGGGAGTTCTAGGAATTTGGCTATGAATTCGGATAAAACTCAAGGTAGGCAATTGATTTGATGAGAAACAAGTTGAATTTCCAGAATTCAGAAACAAAAAATGGTTATCGACAGGTTATAGTTTTATAAGAGCAGCAATGACCGAAGTCTCAAAAGATGGAAGCAGTTAACGAAAATATAGTGGACGGAAATAGGTGTTGAAACACATGAAAGCAAAGCAGCAGCCAGCAAATTCGATGCAGCTCAAATGACAAGGTGCAGAAGAGAATTAACTGGTCTGAAGAAAGAAACTGAATGCTGCGTTCTTCATATACTGAATGAGGCGGCATTTCAAATGACAAAATAGAATGCGGCATTTCGAATTGTTAACAACGACACCATGGAAATTAGAGGTCTGATCAAGGAAAACAGATTCAAACATAGCAGGCAGCTCAAGAACAAAATTGAAAAAAGAAAAATCTTAGGTTTTCAATCGAATAATCAGGTAAGTCCATGGAATAAATAGATAATAATCATCACAGTAGAGCAGCAGGTCGAATTTTACGCGATCGCCGAGTCGCGAAATGTCGGACGGACAGAAATTTATCAATAAAATAAACTCAATCAGAGATATATGGATCAAAATTGCGATGATAATAGGGTTTTGGAGAGAGAAAGGAACATACGAGAGATTCAGGTCTAGCATTCTGGCGGAGGCGGGCTTCGAGTTGCTCGTTGCGGGAATTGGTGGCCTGCATAACGCAGTAGCCAATAACGCCGGGAACGACGCCGCAGACGGTGGCGAAGGCCAAGAAGAAAGGCTTTGAATCTCTGGTTTTCCTCACTATCCATCTCCATGACTCGCTCTTCTCCCACAGAAACGACATTATTTGCCCTCGTTTGTGAGAAATTTAATCCTACGGTTTGAATTTAGCTTTGTTTTGGCCTTATATCTATAATTTCATAGAACAAAACAATTAACAAAAGAAAAAGAAGACAATTTCAAGACAAAACTGTATGAAAAATGAAAAACAATGCCATTGGATTTCGGAGTTACTACGAACCTGCGAATTGATGAGTAGATCAAATTTGTGAACAAACCCTAAGCTTGAGATTGTATCATTAACAAAATCTAAATTAATTTAAACCCTAAAGTTGATATCTATTGAGCTCATAAACTTTCATAGGATGATCTTTTAAAGAAGTTGTGATAATTGATCTTTTAAATTAATTAATTTATGACAATTTTAAAATGAATGCAAACCCTTTGATATAACATAAGGGCTACAACATATGATGTAAATGCATCCACTTTGAATTTGTTTTTATGCCTTCTATAGCGATACCCTCATCCGTATATGAGTGCCTTACTTTTACCTGTGAAAGAAGTAGAACATGACTTGAGTATTTAGAAATACTGAGTGAGTAACCCTACTGTGATAGTCGGGAAATACAATCACGTGTAATCATGATAAGACCTGTATTTTCATACACTCAGATTGTGGATTATTGACTCCCAACAGGGAGACCTCAGTCTAGTAAGAATTATAATTAGGATTGTCTAAGTCTGTAAATAACAGACTGTTATGCCAAGGGCAATTGTGTATATGAACTATTGAAGAGTAAGAGACTGAAGTACTAATAGATGCTCACAACTTTACATTCTCCGTGCATCCAGATAGTACTAAAATGGCGGGACTTGAAACATTATTTTCAATGGCGCAGTATGAAGAACATGGCATATTTTTTTTAAGTAAGTGCCTAATATGCCAACCGGTGAAGGCGCCAAGATAGAAAACAGTAGGGTTGTTGCAACCAAGTGTACTAGAATGGAAATGGAAGAACATGACAATGAATTTTATCATAGGTCTACCTGAGACAAATGGTATACGGTGATATGGGTAATCATCAACAAACTAACCAAATCAACACATTTTTTACGTGGAAAGGCAACCTATATGGTGGATAATTGGACTAAATTATACATCAAGAGAGATTGTTAGGCTATATGGACCACCAGTGTCGATTGTGTTAGACAAAGACCCACATTTTACGTTAGCCTTCTAATGCAGCCTCCAAAAGGTATTGGGTGCTCGCCTCGACTTCAATACTGCATTCTACCCACATACAAATGGCTAAACTAAACGTTTGAACCAAATATTGGAAGACATATTGTGTGCTTCCATGTTGAATTTTGCAAATTGTATATAAATTGACCTTTTGTCGAAGATGAAAATAAGTCGTAGTAATAAATAATAAAAAGATCGGATCAGAAAAGAATCATGAAAATTCGAACGTTGACGTATTTTCATCAGGGCGACTGATGAGATTAGGAAAAGAGGACTCATTTTAATTAAAAAATTAACAAGTTTTTTAATTCTATTCTAGTAAAGTACTAAAATAGAGAATAATAGTAAGGAATGACACCTTGATTCTATATCATCTTTTTCTGTATCATAGGATACAAATAATAAATCTTCTTATGATTCTTGTTGTTTCGATTTTTTTTGTTTCAAAAACATTTTGTGTTTTCAAATAAAATCAATAATTTTATCTACGATTCATTGGAACAAAAAAAGCTCGGTCAGAGCTACACCTCATGGAGCTTGCCTACAACAACAACTTCCAAGCCGCTATTAGTATGGCATTATTTGAAGACTTATACAAAAAGCGGTGCAAGTTCCTAGTGTAGTGGAACAAGGTAGATTACCTGTGTATAACTCAAAGTAGGCAGAAGAGTTACGCTGATGTGAGTATAGAAACTTGGAGTTTGGGTAGGCGACAAAGTAATTTTCGAAGGTGGCTTCAATGAAAGCCATCTTGAGGTTCATACAAAATGATAAGTCGGGGCCAAGTTTCATTGGACCCTTCAACATTCTGGATCGAATTGAACAAGTGAAATACATATTAGTTTTCCATCGTCTCTCCGTAGTGCATAACGTATTCCCCGTGTCCATGCTCCACAAGTACTTGATCGACTCGACTCACATGATAGATTACAAACCTTTGTCCGTATATTAAATTTATAAAGATATTTTACACTATTTTTTTTTAAAAATAAATATAAAAAAAGACGTCTACGCGTCCCCCTTGGAGTCGTACATGAAGATTTGATATGATGAATATTGCAGATCGAAGTTAACGTGACATCACATTCACAACACTAAGCATGAATTAAAGTATTGGTTGATAGATACGCAGATATTTAAATGTTGAAATTAAAATCACTGGGATTTCACTACAAAAGCTTAAAATGATATAATTCGTAAAATAAAACTCAACCATAGGACTCTCACTCTATCCAGAACTTGTCGCTGTTTCATGATGGTTTTATCTTTAATGAGTGGGACACACCTCTGAAAATAGCATATATGATCCGTTTGTTTCCGGGGAAAATTAGCCCAGAAAATTTCTTCTCAACAATTTTTGCAAAAAAATGATGGGTGGTAATTTTTTTGGAATCCAAATTGGATAAAGCCCTGAATTAGAAGTGGCCTTGGCTTGTCCACTTCCACGCTCTCTCTCTCTCTCTACACGGCCATTTTGCCTCTGTAGCTCTTCCCTTTTCCACGCTGAATATACTAAATTTCTGATGGTACTGTTCCGATTTGGCGGCCATTGATGCGAAGCTTCATCGCCTTCTTCATTTGACGCCCATTTCGATTTCTCAATCTCTCGCGATCTTGTTTGTTACAGAACTATCATTCTCCTTTCTGTTCCATTGTTTGGGTTTTTGTTGTTTTGATACCTAATTTATGGGGTTTTTCTGATTGATTGTGTTTAGGGTTTTTGAAGGGATTTGTTGGTAAGCTATGGATTCTGCAATTCAGGCTTCGCCTTCTCCGGCTTCGTCTTCTGCATTTCGTAGTCCATGTCTCACTTCTGCTTCTCAGAACTGCAAATTTCCCTTGTGAGCTCATTTTAGTTTATCCGTGCTCGTGATTAGGGTCTGGATTGGGTGTTTTTGTTTGCATTTTGTGTGCGTTTATCTATCTGTTTTGTGAAATTTGAAGTTGTTTTACGCTTGGATTGACTTGTTATATAGTTTTGAAGTGGTTGTTTGCTGTGGAAGTTTGTTCTTATTTGTCTTCCATGGTTATGTGAGCTTCAATAATGGTGCCAGTAGCTCCTTTGGGAGTTGTGGACTTATTTACTTCGTAGTTTGATATTTTGCGCATGTAATCTGGGGCTGTTG